TGAGGGTAGAGGAGAATAGGAGTGAGAGTGGAGGAGACTAGGAGTGAGTGTGGATGAGACTAGGAGTGAGTGTGGAGGAGTCAAGGAGTGATTGTTGAGGAGACTAGGAGTGAGTTTGGAGGAGACTAGGAGTGAGTGTGGAGGAGACATAGAGTGAGTGTGAATGAGACTAGGAGCGAGTTTGGAGGAAACTAGGAGTAAGTGTAGAGGATACTAGGAGTAATTACTTACCAAATTGCACTTACCCAATGGTGCTTGCGGGGTTTGAACTCTGGCTCTTTGGTCCCGCCTCTCAACTGCCAGTCAAGTAATGTACAGGTTCCTGAGCCTATTGGGCTCTATCATATCTACACTTGAAGCTGTATATGGAGTCAGCCTCCACCACATCACTTCTTAATGCATTCCATTTGTCTACTACTCTGACAATGAAAAAATCTGACTAACGTCTCTATGGCGCATTTGGGCACTCAGTTTCCACCAGTGTCCCTTAGTGCGTGTTCCCTTTGTGTTAAAAAGTTTGTCTTTATCTACCCTATCAATTCCTCTGAGAATCTTGTATGTGGTGATCATGTCATCTCTAACTCTTTTGTCTCCCTGTGACGTGAGGTATAATTCACGTATTCTCTCCTCGTAGTTCATACCCCTCACTTCGGGTACTATTCTGGTGGCAAACCTTTGAACCTTTTCCAGTTTAGTCTTGTGCTTGACTAGGTATGGACTCCATGCTGGAGCCGCATACTCCCGGATTGGTTTGACATATGTGGTATATAATGTTCTGAAAGATTCCATGCACAAGTTTCTAAACGCCGTTCTTATACTAGCCAACCTGGCATATGCTACTGATGTTATTCTCTTGATATGAGCTTCAGAGGACAGGTCTGGTGTGATATCAACCCACAGGTCTTTCTCTCTCTCTGACTCTTAAAGTATTTCATCTCCCAAATTATTCCTTGTATCTGGTCTCCTGGTCCCTTCCACTATCTTCATTACATTACATTTTCTTGGGTTAAATTCTAACAACCATTTGTTCGACCATTCCTGTAGCTTGTCCAGGTCTTCTTGAAGCCTCAAGTTGTTCTCCTCTGTCTTAATCCTTCTCATAATTTTGGCGTCGTCAGCAAACATTGAGAGGAATGAGTCTATACCCTCTGGGAGATCATTCACGTATATCAGAAACAGGATAGGTCCAAGTACAGAGCCCTGTGGGACTCCACTGGTGACTTCACGCCGTTCTGAGGTCTCACCCCTCACTGTAACTCTCTGCTTCCTATTGCTTAGGTACTCCCTTATCCACTGGAGCGTCCTACCAGTTAATCCTGCCTGTTCCTCCAGCTTATGCATCAGCCTTTTATGGTGTACTGTGTCAAAGGCTTTCCGACAGTCCATAAAAATGCTGTCTGCCCATCCTTCTCTTTCTTGCTTAATCTTTGTCACCTGATCGTAGAACTCTATCAATTTACCCTTCCTGAACCCATGTTGATGGGTTGTCACGAAGTCCCTTCTCTCCAGATGTGTTACTAGGTTTTTTTCTCTCGATCTTCTCCATCACCTTGCATGGTATACAAGTTAAGGACACTGGCCTGTAGTTCAGTGCTTCTTGTCTGTCGCCCTGTTTGTATATTGGTACTACATTAGCCGTCTTCCATATTTCTGGTAAGTCTCCCGTTTCCAGTGACCTACTATACACTATGGAGAGTGGCAAAAAAAGTGCTCCTGCACACTCTTTCAATGCCCATGGTGAGATTCCGTCCGGCACAACAGTCTTTCTGTTTTTTTTTTGTGAGTGCTATTATGTCTGGGTTTTCTTCCATTGCCCATTCTCCGTGTTCACTTGTTTTATTTGTAATCCCATCTATGTTAGTGTACATTGCCTTGAAGCTCACTTTTGTCTGTTAATTTTCTTGTCCCCTTCTTGGTGAGCGTTCTGCTGGTGGGGAAAGCTGTTCCCTTGGTGTAAGAATCTGCGAGATGGCTTGTAAGGGTCTCAGAGGATTTTGGGGTGGGTGGTGGGGGTTCAAGGGAAGGGGGAGGACAGGTATGGTATGAGGTAAGGAGATAGGGAGGATATGGAGGGTACGGGGTGAGGGGGTGGAGGGATAGGGAGGGTATGGGATGAATGGGGAGGGGGAAAAGGCAGGAGGAGGGACATTGTGGGAATGAGGGAAGGGTGACAGGGTAGGAATGGGTTGGGGGGGGGGAGGGTTGGGTCAGCATTTGAGTGGGGGCAGGTAGGGTGAGGGGAAGGGAGGGTTTCTATGCAGAGGGGGGTGAAGGTGTTGCCCTCCTCTCTGGTGTTGCTGGGATGCTGGTTGTGGGTTCTCCTCTTGTCTGTGGGACTATTGTGTTGGGGGCTGTGATTTCCTGGTTTACTCCTCTCTCCCTGCGCTTCCTCCTTGCCTCTGCTGCCCTGGCTTTCTTCTCCTTCGCCCTGTCCCTCTGCAGGAATACTTTTTTCTATTCCTCCACATACTGCAGATGACTCTTCCTTTCTAGAATAACCTTCGTGGTCTCGTTTGTAAACACCACCTTTACCAGTCGGTTTCTGTCCTTCTCAAACTTTCTCAATGTTTTGTTCAGCCCCTTACATCTGTAATCCCTTCAGTATCCCATGTACTGCCTCTCTGTCTTTGCTATTCCATTCCTGCCTATTGGATCCTTCCTGTTTCTTGATGCTTACAACTACCACTGATCTTTTTCTTTCCAGCAGCTGACTGGTGCACCTTGCTGCTTCCTGTGAGGTATAGCTGCTTGCATGGCTACCTCCCTCACTGTATCCATTGCTTCTAAGCTCTTTCTTAGTATGTCTGCAAATGTTTCAGGTACAGAGGCATTTCCTTCCAAGGCAACATACCCACCTTCCCTTTGGATGATAATCTGTTGCTCAGCCTCTTTATTTTTCTCTGTGAGGGATTTGATCTCCTCCCTTGCTGATATCAGCTCACTTTGCAGGTTGTTAATTGTAATCCTCATTTCATGTATCACCCCTTCTGAATTCCTCCAAAACTTGGACTAACATTTCCTTTGTTTGGTCACTTTGACTATTCCCTGTGTCCCTGTTGCGTCCACCTGCCATCTTGTCCCTTTCCCTGATATGTTTTGTAGGGTTAGGCCGGAGGGGGGCAGAGAGAGAGAGAGATAAGAGAGAGAGAGAGATAAGAGAGAGAGAGAGAGAGAGCAGGTGAGAAAGCAAGAGAGATAGAACAAGAGAGCAAGATAGAGAGAGGGCAAGATAGAGAGCAGGATAGAGAGAAAGCAAGAGGGAGAGAGAGAGAGAGAGCAAGAGAGAGAGAGAGAGATGGGGGAAGGAAGGAGAGTGTATGTCACTATCTATGGTGTCCAGTTGACGTGTAGGGGGAAGGGGGGGGGGCGGTGTTACCCTGACTTGTTAATCCCCTGTTAATCCCTACACACATTGTACAATTCAGGTCCCAACTTGAGCTCACAGTGAGGTTACTGCCTCATTCTCCATCAATTTATCAGGATTACTATTCTATTATCGAATGAAATGCATTATATGTGATTACTATATGATATTATATAAACCTTGCACACTTGTTGAAGACTTTAGAGAGGGGGCACTTACCAGTCACCACCCAACAAGCACAACCAGGCAGTTCTGTGGTGGGTCGTCCCACGCTGGCCGTCAGGTAAGGTCGCTCCACGCGGTTCTCCACACTGTATATGCACTGGTGATGCCACTAGCTCCACTTGGGAGTCCACCTGAACCACCAGCCAGGTCGGACGTTCTTGAGGTCTCTGCTGGTGTTTACATTGGACGCTTCTCGGTTGCCCTGGCGAGTGGTCGTTTGCTACTGCAGGGTGTCTACTTATTCGTCTCACTATGGGGACTTACGTGCCGCCACTGCGGAGGAAGGAGTCGGCAGGGCTGACATTCACCTGTAAAGTGTATATTGGAGTCATCAGCAATACGCAGTTTGATGTAATGAAAGTGAAAGTGGAAGATCTCGTTGGTCTGCAGATCATTCGCGAGGACACATTGGTGGTGAAGTTCTCTGAGAATGGCTTGTTTCGGCAGTTTATCGAACAGTATTAGGATCGGGAGGTACGGCTGAGCAACGGTCAGGGCTCTGTGAGGGTGGCAAATTTGAGTATTGAGTACACATATGTATCGATTAAAGATGCTCTGATTGAAATGTCAGAGGATCTTCTCCCTCGGGCGCTTGCCAGGTATGGGCGTGTCGACTTTATTCATGTGTGTAGGCACACGTCTGGAGCCATCAAGGGGCTTATGAATGGTTACAGGACGGCAAAAATGGTCCTTCGTGGAAATGTGCCTTCCTCTCTATCGATTGCTGGCTATATGGTCGGCTTCTTCTACTGAGGGCAGACTCGGACATGTTTCAATTGCGGTCATGTTGGCCATATGGCAGCTGCCTGCACCACTAGGATGGACGACCGTGTTAACCTGTTTAATGAAAATGATTTTCCTCCTTTGCACGACCAAGAAGATCTATCAATTTTGAGCAGTGCCTCTTGTATGGGAATGGATGCAGTGGTGGATGGCGCCAATCTGGGTTCTACGAGTGCTGCTTCAGTGGTTTCTCCTGGTGGGGATGACGTCCGTACTGCTGTGGCGTCTCCCGGACGGTCTGGTGGGGGATGTTGATCTCCCTACAAGCCCGTGCGTGCCCATGCAGACCGGCTCCGAAGGCGAGTGTGCTGCGGTGACTACCAGCTCTGGTGAGGTGGTAGATGCAGTGGTGGGCATTTTATCAGTAAATGGGTGCTCCAGTGCTGATTCGATTGGTGTGCTTCGGAACCCGCAGCAAGTGATCCGTGATGGTGTTGATGCGGCTCGGCCTGCTGCTCGAACAACTGAGGTGGTGGCGGAAGTGCATATGGAGGATGTACATGCTCCTAGTCGTGTTTCTGAACGACGTGAGGCAGATTGCCTGTTGCCTGTTGGCGCTGGGCAGCACAGCTTGAAGCGACGGAAATTTGGAGGTTCTCTTTAGACTATCCTAGATGCAAGGAGGAGGATGGAGGACAACATTCCCCCTTCCTTGATGGCTGTGCAGTGTGATCCTATGGTTCCGTCCGACTCGGATATTCTGCCTTCTGGTGGGGGCGTGTCTGTGTTGGATGCTGGAGTCCCTAAAATTCGTGGGAGTGGTCCACCACCTGGTGGTACACAGAATGTGGATTGGTGGGATATTGTGAAAGGGGTCCAGGAAGAGTTGGTAGGGGCGATTTGGTGGTAAGGCTCCAGAAGAGTTCTCTGGGTAAGCTTGCCGGTGTGGCTCCCACTCCAGTAGTTTTGGGGGATGGGGTTGAGGGCTCTTCTGTTGGGTGGGATACTACCCTTGGGTGTAGTGGTAATGTTGTGTAAGTGTTGTCTTCTCTGTTTATTTTTCTCAATGGATGTATGGATAAAATGTGCGACATTGAACGTTAATGGGTTGAATTGCCGTTTGAAGCAACATCAGATTGTGTTGGTGGCCCGCTATCACAAGATGGATGTTATATTTATTCAGGAGGATAATGTTAAGTGTATGGACTGACTGGAGGTGTTGTTGGATTATTTCGAGGTGTTGCTGAACCCTCCTGTGTTATCAAAGGGCGGCACGATGATATTGTTGGCAAAGAGGGTGAGTATGGGGATAGTGAGCTCGGAAATGGATGACTGTGGTAATGTAATTTTGGCGCATGTGTCGTTTATGGGTTCTGTGTTTCCCTTGCTGAATGTGTAAGCGCCCTCAGGATCGCATAGACGAGCTGAGAGGGAAGAGTTGTTCTCGGAAGGTTTGCTTTATTTTTTACGGAATGACACGAGAAGGATGATTTTTGGTGGTGACTATAATTGTGTAATCTCAGTCCAGGACTGTAGCCCTCGTGCTCAGGCGTCTCTCTCTCCTGCTTTAGTTAGGGTACTGGGTTTAGTTAGGGGGGTACTGGGATTGTAGTTTGCTTTCGCTTTATGGGCTCCGTAGGTCGGTTGCCATGTGTCTTGGGTTTTCCTGGGTTTCAGGGACGTTGCTGGGTTACATTCTGAGTTTTCCTGCTTTGTGTGGGTCGTTCTGGTTTCGTTGGGCCTCTGTTTTTTTTCCTCCTACTGGGGTGTTTGTACGTTTTGTACTATACTCTTCAGGTGGAGGCTGTTAGTGTTCTGGGTTCCGCTTTGTTTAGCCGTTGGTTGTTGGCATGTTGTCATGTGTAATGTATAGTTGTGGGATTTATCTCCATTTGTGCAAGTGTGTGTATGTGCTGGAATTGTGCACGACATGACCTGTTGTCCGTGTGCCATCCTTTCCTCTAGTGATGGGTTTGTGTGATGGCACTGTGTGTGTTACTGCGTGGCATTATGATGGTATTGTGACTGGGTACCATAAGGAAGTTTGTGGTGCTATGATTTGGAACAGTTTAGGTGTGTATGGGTTTGTTTGACGTATGGTTTTCTGGATTCCTTACATGACCTGTCCCTGTGATGTGCTTCCCTGTTTTCCCAGTTTCTGGGTGGTACAGGTATTAATGTGTATATGTGTATTTTACGGGGTGCTGTGCCCCCCCCCTCTCCCTGTTACATTGTTTCCAGTTCAGGGGACTTTGTTATATAGTTAACTAGTTTTATCAATTGGTTTTATTAATGCTTTCTCCGGGTTCGGAGTGTAATGTATGTGTGTTTCATGTTGGATTCTTGGGTCCTTTTTATTATGCCCTGCCATAGTACATATGTGGCCTTGAACTAAAATGTGTTCCGATTTACTTGAGTGGTTACCTTATCATTTGTGCATTTATTCTGTTACCTTTATACTATTCATGTCCTAGGTTTGGGTGGTGTGAGATAGCTCTGTATTGGATGTATATTTATATTTATGTATATTTATGACCTTATAAAAAAAAATATTAGCTGTTACGTGTTGTAACTGAACTGTGTGCTTTAAAACTGAATAATTTGCTTTCTATTCGTTTACACTGTATTACATTGTTAATTTATTATTGTCATGTTTGTATATTGCTTTTCTTTCTGTTTATACGTTTTTGTAATTAGTCCTTGCTTTTGTAATATGTGTCCGGCCTTTTGGTCTGTATGCCTTTTGTGTGTTGTTTAGTGGGCGTTTTCGGAAATGTTTTCATTGGGTTAAATGCTACTAAAATTTTCAAGTGTTTTGTGGGTTTTGTACATGGTTAAGTGGATGGATATATGCTTTCCCCTTGTGTTGTGTTCATTTATGTTCCCCATCGTACGCCTTTATTCGTCAGTACTGTACTTTTCTTTCTGTGCTGAGGGACGGGTTGTTTAATCACCTGTTTTGTGTTGGTTGTTTCAATTTTATTATGAGTCATGTGTGTGCTATGGAACTCACTGTGTACTGGTGCTTTGGTAACTGTTTTTATATTGTATTTATGTATTTTATAAATAAAAAAAACATTGCTACACTTTGGTAACTTCGCTCTATCGCTTGTGATATGACTATGCTACGTTGCACCCTGCTTGCTACACACTGTGAGAGGCCAAATACTATGATCTAGCCTCTATACACATTCAATGTCTAAAGTAATTGACGAATTTCCGCGGACCTCACAAACACGTGTCACCCACCGGCGGCGGCCAACTACGTAGATGCTCTACACCTAGATCTACATAGATTTAAGTGTAAAGGAGACTAGAAGTGAATGTAGAGGAGACCAGGAGTGTGTGTAGAGGAGACTAGGAGTGAGTGTGGAGGAGACTGGGAGTGGTTTTAGAGGAGACTAGGAGTGAGTGTGGAGGAGACTAATAGTGCATGTGGAGGACACTAGGAGTGAGTGTGGAGGAGACTAGGAGTGGGAGTAGAGAAGACAACGAGTGAGTGTAGAAGAGATTAGAAGTGGTTGTAGAGAAGACGAGGAGTGAGTGTAGAGGAGACTAGGATTGATTGTAGAGGAGACTAGTAGTGAGTGTGGTCGAAACTAAAAGTGGATATAGAGGAGACTAGGAGAGAGTGTGGAGGAGACTAGGAGTGAGTGTAGAGGAGGCAAGGAGTGAATGTAGAGGAGACTAGGAGTGGGTGTAAAGGAAACTAGGAGTGGGTGTAGAGGAGACTAGGAGTGAGTGTGGAGGAGACCAGGAGTGGTTTTAGAGGAGACTAGGAGTGAGTGTGGAGGAGACTAATAGTGCATGTGGAGGACACTAGGAGTGAGTGTAGAGGAGACTAGGAGTGTGTGTAGAGGAAACTACGAGTGAGTGTGGAGGACACTAGGAGTGAGTGTGGAGGAGACCAGGAGTGAGTATGGAGGAGACTAGGAGAGAGTGCGGAGTAGACTAGGAGTGAGTGTAGAGGAGGCAAGGAGTGAGTGTGGAGGAGACTAGGAGTGGGAGTGAAGGAGACTAGGAGTAGGTGTAGAGGAGACTAGGAGTGAGTGTGGAGGAGACCAGGAGTGAGATTGGAGGAGACTATGAGAGAGTGTAGAGGAGACTAGGAGTGAGTGTGGAGGTGACTAGGAGTGAGTGTGGAGGAGACTAGGAGTGAGTATGGAGGAGACTAGGAGTGAGTGTGGAGGAGACCAGGAGTGAGTATTGAGGAGACTAGGAGTGAGTGTGGAGGAGACTAGGAATGAGTGTAGAGTAGACTAGGAGAGAGCATGGAGGAGATAAAGAGTGAGTGTGGAGGAGAGTAGGAGTGTGGAGGAGACTAGGAGTGAGTATGGAGGAGACTAGGAGTGAGTGTGGAGGAGACTAGGAATGAGTGTAGAGTAGACTAGGGGTGAGCATAGAGGAGACAAGGAATGAGTGTGGAGGAGAATAGGAGTGTGGAGGAGACTAGGAGTGAGTATGGAGGAGACTAGGAGTGAGTGTGGAGGAGACAAGGAGTGAGTGTAGAGGAGACTAGGAGAGAGTGTGGAGGAGACTAGGAGTGAGTGTAGAGAAGGCCAGGAGTGAGTGTGGAGGAGACTAGGAGTGGGTGTAGAGGAGACTAGGAGTGAGTGTGGAGGAGACTGGGAGTGGTTTTAGAGGAGACTAGGAGTGAGTGTGGAGGAGACTAATAGTGCATGTGGAGGACACTAGGAGTGAGTGTGGAGGAGACTAGGAGTGGGAGTAGAGAAGACAACGAGTGAGTGTAGAAGAGATTAGAAGTGGTTGTAGAGAAGACGAGGAGTGAGTGTAGAGGAGACTAGGATTGATTGTAGAGGAGACTAGTAGTGAGTGTGGTCGAAACTAAAAGTGGATATAGAGGAGACTAGGAGAGAGTGTGGAGGAGACTAGGAGTGAGTGTAGAGGAGGCAAGGAGTGAATGTAGAGGAGACTAGGAGTGGGTGTAAAGGAAACTAGGAGTGTGTGTAGAGGAGACTAGGAGTGAGTGTGGAGGAGACCAGGAGTGGTTTTAGAGGAGACTAGGAGTGAGTGTGGAGGAGACTAATAGTGCAAGTGGAGGACACTAGGAGTGAGTGTAGAGGAGACTAGGAGTGTGTGTAGAGGAAACTACGAGTGAGTGTGGAGGACACTAGGAGTGAGTGTGGAGGAGACCAGGAGTGAGTATGGAGGAGACTAGGAGAGAGTGCGGAGTAGACTAGGAGTAAGTGTAGAGGAGGCAAGGAGTGAGTGTGGAGGAGACTAGGAGTGGGAGTGAAGGAGACTAGGAGTAGGTGTAGAGGAGACTAGGAGTGAGTGTGGAGGAGACCAGGAGTGAGATTGGAGGAGACTATGAGAGAGTGTAGAGGAGACTAGGAGTGAGTGTGGAGGTGACTAGGAGTGAGTGTGGAGGAGACTAGGAGTGAGTATGGAGGAGACTAGGAGTGAGTGTGGAGGAGACCAGGAGTGAGAATTGAGGAGACTAGGAGTGAGTGTGGAGGAGACTAGGAATGAGTGTAGAGTAGACTAGGAGAGAGCATGGAGGAGATAAAGAGTGAGTGTGGAGGAGAGTAGGAGTGTGGAGGAGACAAGGAGTGAGTATGGAGGAGACTAGGAGTGAGTGTGGAGGAGACTAGGAATGAGTGTAGAGTAGACTAGGGGTGAGCATAGAGGAGACAAGGAGTGAGTGTGGAGGAGAATAGGAGTGTGGAGGAGACTAGGAGTGAGTATGGAGGAGACTAGGAGTGAGTGTGGAGGAGACAAGGAGTGAGTGTAGAGGAGACTAGGAGAGTGTGGAGGAGACTAGGAGTGAGTGTAGAGAAGGCCAGGAGTGAGTGTGGAGGAGACTAAGAGTGGGTGTAGAGGAGACTAGGAGTGAGTGTGGAGGAGACCAGGAGTGGTTTAGAGTAGACTAGGAGTGAGTGTGGAGGAGACTATGAGTGGTTTTAGAGGAGACTAGGAGTGTGTGTGGAGGAGACTAGGAGTGGGAGTAGAGAAGACCACGAGTGAGTGTAGAGGAGACTAGAAGTGTTTGTAGAAGAGACGAGGAGTGAGTGTAGAGGAGACTAGGATTGATTGTAGAGGAGACTAGTAGTGAGTGTGGTCGAAACTAAAAGTGGATGTAAAGGAGACTAGGAGAGAGTGTGGAGGAGACTAGGAGTGAGTGTAGAGGAGGCAAGAAGTAAGTGTGGAGGAGACTAGGAGTAGGTGTGAAGGAGAC